CCCCCGCCCCCGCAACCTCCTCTGCCACCGCTCCCCTCGACGCTCGGCGCCCCGTGAGCTATCCGTGGCCGCGCTTTTCGCGTCGCAGTCCGGAGGTCTAGCTAGTGCAAATGGAGTCGCTCTTTCACCACAACGACGTTGTCTCCGATGCGGACCGCTATCACGCGGCCGTGTCGGCTCTTGATTTCAAGACGGCGGAGGAAATGTTCGACGTACTCCAGCGCCCTCCGAGGCTTGGAAAGTACGCCAACTTGCGGAAGCACCTGTTAGCCAGATTTGGGGACACTGTCCATCAGCGTCTCCACAGCCTGTTTTCGGGGCTAACGATTGGGGTTCGAACTCCGTCACAACTTCTTCGGCGGATGCGCCACCTCATTGGGAGTACCATCGGGGACGACGTGCTCAAGGTCCAGTGGCTTGACCTCCTTCCCTCCCACATCACCAAACTCCTCCGCCTCTTACGCTCGGCTGAGCTGGACGAGCTTGCGGCTACGGCGGACAGCCTGATAGAGCATGCCATGCGCGACATCTGCGTGGTTCGGCAAGCTCCCCGCAGCTCCTCGCCTGATGCAAGACCAACTGCCTTGCGCGATTCTGGTGTTTGGCCGGGCACAGTTGAGCAGCAGTTAGACGCCTTGCATTCAAAATTGTCAGGCTTAACGACGGCGATTAATCGGTCAATCGACCAACAACAGGAGATCCTTGTTGCTTTCAGCCGAGTCGCGATCTCTTGCTCGTCATCGCCTCCGCGACGACTGTCGATCGCGCCTCTTTCACCTTCGGCGGGATCAGCATCTTCGTCGTCGTCGGCACCTAGACYTGTACAGGTATCGAGATCGCCTCTTACAGTAAGGGCCCTCCCTCCGTCGCTCCGCTGGTGTTATTACTACAAACAGTACAGGGATCGGGCGACGAACTGCAAACCACCGTGCAGTTATCGAGAAAACACTCGCAAAAAAAAAATTAGCCGCGCCCCCGCAAAACTCGGCGGTAATCGGTGGCCAGTTTTCCCTTTCTTCGGATAACCGCCTGCACATCTTTGAGAGCTCATTACGGCTACCCATGTTGGTCGACTGCGGCTCGGTAGTTTCTCTCCTACCCCGCCGCCTCGTCTCAAAATCGCTCTCCTGTGACGAACTTTGTCTTGTTGCTGCCAACATCACCCCGATTCGCACCTTCAATCGCCACCTACTGACGCTTTCGCTTGGTCTTTCGCGAAAGTTTCAGTGGTTGTTCGTGGTGGCCGACGTGCCTGAGCCCATCCTCGGGGCTGTCTTTCTGAACCACTCCGGCCATTTGGTCGACATTCGTCGCCAATGTCTCGTTGACCCTTCGTCGGCCAAAGAATTGGCCTTGTATCTTCGAAAAGTCGCCCTCCACGGGGTTGCTTCTGTCGCATTTTTGTCTGACTTACGCCATCGAGCCGCCTACGACTCGTTACTCGCCGAGTTTGCTGACCTCGCTCGGCCTTTTAGATCTGGGGCTGTGCTCCAGGGCTGTAGTGTGGTGCACCGCATTGTTACGGCTGGACCGCCCGTCTTTGAACGTCCGCATCGCCTTGCCGGCGATCACTTGTCCAAAGCTAAGTCCACCTTCGACCGCCTGCTCCAACAAGGAGTTATTCGGCCGTCTTCCAGCCCGTGGGCAAGCCTCCTCCACCTCGTGGCAAAAGCCACTGGCGGCTTCTGTGCGACAGGCGACTACCGTCGTCTAAACGCCTTCAAGCTGCCTGACCGCTATACTCTCCTAGTCATTGAAGACTTGCTCGAGGATAGTTTCGGTAACTCGGTCTTCTCGGTCATCGACCTTCAGGAGGCCTATTTCCAAGTTCCTATGGAGGAGTCAGAAATCGAGAAAACGGCCGTAACTACGCCTTTTAGCTTGTTTGAGTTCCTCCGAATGCCGCTCGGCCTTCGCAACTYCTCCCAAACCTTCCAGCGGTTTATGGACTCGCTGCTTCGAGATCTYCTCTTCGTCCGCTGCTACATYGACGACCTTTGCGTCCGGTCCTCCWCGCACGAAGAGCAYCTTCACCATCTTCGGGTCCTCYTCTCTCGTTTGCGGGAGGCCRGACTTTCCTKCAAGGTTKAAAAGCTGCAGCTCGGACTTYYGAGCGTTATCTTTTTGGGGTATCGGATCTTTTCGAGTAACATTCGTCCTCCGGARCGCAAGGTCCTTGCGATACGGAACTTTGAAAAACCCGCAACGCCAAGGAGCTTKCGACGTTTTTTGGGGATGCTTAACTTTTTCAGGCGGAGTCTGCCGCACGCTGCTCATACCCAGGCTCCGCTCACYAAGCTTCTCCGGGGTCTTYMAATCGGCAGTCGTCGACCGCTCATCTGGAACGATGCAGCTGACCGTGCCTTCGAAGACGCCCGTCGCAGTCTCGCGACAGCTACGGAGACAGCCTTCCTCTCGCCGTCCGCTCCGCTTCGTCTCGCCACCGACGCCTCCAACTCGGCCGTCGGCGCTGCGTTGCTGCAGCTCATCGACATAGTTTGGCGGCCCATCGGCTTCTTCTCCCAGACGCTGTCCTCGACTCAGGCTCGCTACAGCACATACAATCAGGAGCTCCTGGCCGTCTTCCTCGCTGTGCATCACTTCAGGCGAATCCTGGAGGGTCGTCCGTTCACAGTGGTGACGGATCATCGGCCGCTCATCTACGCAGCCTGCCAGCCCTCGGATAAGGCCTCTCCTGGTCAACAACGGAAGCTCGACTTCCTGCTCTAGTTCGACGTCAAATTCGAGCACATCAGCGGCCCAGACAACGTCGTTGCCGACGCTCTCTCCCGGACTTTGGAGGATGCTCCCGTCCCGGATCGGCCTTCCGAACACTCCTTGCCTCCAACGGCGGCTCCAGTCTTCGCCACAGTCAGCCTGCCTTCAGCGCTCAGTCTCGAGGCCATCGCGGATGCACAAGCTCGCGACGACGAGCTCTCATCGCTCGCAGCACGCACCTCCCTCAACATTCAACGCCTACTCCTCGGGGGAATCAAGGTGGCCTGCGATTCACACGGCGGTCGATTTCGGCCTTACCTGCCTCGGACTCTTCGGCAAACCGCCTTTGAGGCTATACGCGGTCTCGCCCACCCCGGTGTCCGTGCCACGGTACGTGACATCTCGCAGCAGTTCGTCTGGCCCGGTCTTCGCAAGGACATCACTGTCTGGACACGCGCCTGTCTTCCGTGCCAGCGCTCGAAAGTTTCCAGGCACAATCGTGCCGCGCTCTCTCGCTTTCAAGCTACGAAGAGCTGCTTCGAGCATGTTCACGTCGACATCATCATGCTGCCACAGGTAAAGAATTACCGCTACTGCTTAACTATGATCGACCGTTTTACCAGATGGCCAGCAGCTGTTCCGCTCGAGGACATACGGGCAGAGACCGTCGCTAAGGCTTTYACGTCGGCATGGATCGCGGACAAAGGATGCTAGTTCACGATCACATTCAATCAGGGCACTCAGTTCGAGTCTTCTCTCTTTGCTGCTCTTGCTCAAGCCTCGGGAACCACGACGATCTGGACGACGCCTCATCACCCGCAAGCTAACAGCATGATCGAGAGATTTCATTGCACGCTCAAATCGGCGCTTATGTGCGCCCCGGCTTCTTGGCCTGACGCACTTCCACTCGTGCTTCTCGGCCTTCCGAACGCCTTCAAAGAGGACCTTCAGGCTTCGCCAGCGGAGATGGTTTTCAGCACGCCGCTGAGGATCCCCGGCGCTTTCTTCGCGCCGTGCAGCTCGCCTGTCGACCACACCTCTTTCATCAGCCGTCTTCGGTCCCTCATTGGAGCCCTGAGTGCCACGCCGGCTTCTGACCACTCTCGACGTCGTCCCTTCTTCTTCAAAGACTTGCGGACATGTACGCACTTCTTTCTACGAGTGGACACCGTCAGAAGACCGCTTGAGCAGCCTTACAGCGGACCAAATCGGGTCCTTCGCCGCATAAATGACAAGGTCTACGCCATCGAGGTCAACGGCTCGGAACGGACTGTCTCAACGGACGCCTTAAAACCAGCGTACCTCGACACATTTGACGCGCTAGCGCAGACATCTGCTCCTGCTTCGTCGTCCTCTTCTCGTCCTACGGCTGCTCCCAGACCTCCACCTACGGTGCAGACCTCGCCTTCGACCTCCAGACCTGTCATCAGCTCGCCACCAGCATCTTCAACCACCGCCACTCGGTCACCTCCGGCGACCTCCAGCAACGTACAACTTCGGAAACGTCATCGACCGAACATYCTCCGGAGAACCTAGTCTTCCGTTCGCCTCCGGCGTCCGGTCCAGAGGAGGGAGTGACTGTGGAGTCCCGCACCTCCTCGGTGCTGACACCTCTCTGTCGATTCGTCAAGCTGCGGCGTTTCTCACCAGGACGGTGCTGACACCTTCCTGTACACCGGCACCAACCTTCGCAGGTCCTTAGCAGCAGCCGGAAATTCGCGCGTCCGGTGGTGGCAAAATCTGTCCGGCCACGTAGCCGGTCCAGGAGGTGGCAGCGCCGGATTGGCCGAAGCTTGTGGCGTGACTTCGTCACGAGGTTCTGATTGGCGGATCAACGTTGCGTGATCTCGGCGCGTCGTCCTTTACACCCCGATGATCTAGGATTCAGCGGAAGCTAAATCGATATCGATCATTATCGTGCGGTTAGTTGAATCAGACAGTCAACACTTTTGCTTTTTCACGTTATTAATTATCATTATCTTCCTGTTCTCAATTTTGTGTCTTTCGTTCCGTGTGTTTTTCTCTCTATTTATCATCAAATTAKTTCTGTGAGGTCACTAGTGACAAAAAGGAGTTTTCCTCTGGTCGTTGACCGGCGTTGGTGATTGGTTAATTCAGTGGTCAGTAACTAGCTACGCGGCGTGGCCTCTGGAAAAATTTCCACATGGGTATGGGCAAGACAGAGSTAAACAAATTGCAGATAGCGCAAAACCGAGCGATGCGTGGAATTTTGCAATGCAGCAGATATACAAGGATAGAGGATATGCTTCAAGCGGTTCAGTTTATAAGTGTGAGACAGAGGTTATACTATAATGTGTGTATATTTATTTTTAATGCCGTGAATAACTTGTTACCAAAAGAATTGATGAGTAAATTGCAAGTTGTACAATCRAGAACAGGGCGAATGACACGTCAAATAGCTAATATTTCAATACAATTCAGAACAACGAAAAGTRCACAAAAAAGTATATTCTACGAAGGGGTGAATATGTATAACGAGCTACCAATAGAAATTAAAGGCTGCGTAAAGCTAGTTGAGTATAGGAGAATGTTAAAAGAATTTATTGTGAGTGAGATTAAATAAATACAAATTAGATATAAGATGAATCTGTAAACTTTGTAAAATAAAATAACTGAGAAAGCGAAATAAATCAATCAATCCTACAAAACTAGTGAATTACATAATGAACGTCTAGGCGCATATCTCAGCCAATCTTTCTTACAATGACTGGATATCTGAAAGCATTCATCCCTCCATTGGGGTCAAGCAGAGAGATCYATTATCTCTAATCCTATTCAATTTCGTCATCGACWGGCTACTAGTAAAATGGTCCAATGAGATCRGGGCCATTATGTGGGATTTCAGGATAAATGCTGCAGCGTTCGCTGACGACATTGTCCTGTTGACATCGTCCCAGGGCGGACTCCAATCTTTAATTAATGTTGCTAATGATGAACTGGGCGCCATGGGTCTAAAAATTAACCCCGTCAAAAGCAATATCATWTCATTTACAATTATCCTAAGGGTTAAAAGGTGTGTAGTAAACTCGTCACTAAAGTTTAGATGTGGAAGATACGAGATGCCTACCTTATCAAGGACATCTGAAGGGAAATACATGGGTGTATCCATTACACCAGAAGAAAAAACAACTGGCYAGGCACTCTCCAGAATTAATGAACTGATGTTAACTCTTTCCAAAGCTYCTTGAAGCCTTAACAGAGACTATTGGCACTTCGAACTTTTGTCATCCCGACAATACTTAACATCTGTTCTTAAAGAATCCTAGGAGGGTGGCCAGAGATTTATTGGCGGGTTCTAGTGGGTCGCGTYCCGCCAGTCTTCAGGCTATGCTTGAGTACTGGGGACCGACGTAGACCTATGAATTCTCTTCATACACTCTGGCCACTGATACTATGAACATGCCCACAATAGACATGCCCACCACTCAGGATTTTTGGCGGCCCGTCTTACACGTAGAACTCGAAACGATTTTTGTTCCACTTAATTCCGTCGTCGGTATAAACGGTGTTTCGGCCAGACAGTGGCGAAGTGTACCGGTTCATATACGAGCCCTTTTGTACAACATCATCTTAGCAAGAGGAGGCTTCCCGGTAGACATGTTAGCGAGTAGGACGATATTTCTCCCGAAGAGGAAAGACGCTGAATACACTAGAGATTACCGCCTGATCAGCGTAGCGTTGATAGTTGAAAGACRACTACACAAGATCTTCGCGACTCGCCTCTGCAGTGCCGGGTGGTCGGGATAGCGATTGGTACGCCACCGCTTGTGTCTCTATGTTCATTATTGTTTATGTTCTTGTTCAAGTTATATTCCAAAGAAACAAGACGCGTTTTGTAACAAGAGTTTTCTTTGTTCCTAAATAAAGAATGAACTGAGTTTCAGACACTCATTTTATTTATTTCTACTTTCCTAGTCTCTACACAGAGTAATCGACAAATCCTTTTGAGTAAATCGRAAGATTATTTCACCGATGACTCGGAAGAAAATATTATTGTCAATGGCGTCGATAATTGGACAGAGGATGATATTAGAGTTGAACTAGAAGCATATGGTCGAACTGCATGCATCAACACAATGCCTGAGCATCACAAAAGCGAATGGGCAACTGTACAGTTGTTCCATGGTGATGATTTGTTTGAATTGTTAGCAACAGAGACAAGCAGATATTGCGTTCAAGTTGCAAGAAAATAGAAAGAATACAAGGCGGTAAAGTAGGTTGACGTGACAGTGAAAGCGACRAAAAAGTTTCTGGGATTAATTATATTAATGGGACAAGTACAGAAAGACGATATATATGATTACTATTCTAGCGACCCCTGGCTGAATGTGTGTAGCACGTCTCCACGTCGCTCCGTTTTTTACCAGTAGAATCATAGTGATTAAGGTAATACTTAATAATAAGTGTGTAATCAGTGTAAAGCGTAAAAAATTCTCTAAAATATAAACAAAAAAGTTATATTGGTTTACGTRGATTAAGAGAAATATCAGCGAAAACATCTATCGCATCCTACAAACTAYGTGTTCGGCCATCTTGTTTAGGTATCTTGTTCTCTGGCGCATGGTGCGCCGCCTTGCGCCCCAGCGCTGAACTACTCTGATTATCGACGAAGCTTGGTGACGCACTGTGGCGTCCCGCACCTTCTCGGTGCTGACACCTCTCGGTCGACTCGTCAGGTTGCGGCGCTTCTCACCAGGACGGTGCTGACACCTTTCTGTATACCGGCACCAACCGTCAGGTCACTAGCAACCGCCGGAAATGCGCGCTTCCGGTGGGGGAAAAATCTGCTCGGCCTCGTAGCCGGTCCAGAGGGTGGCAGCGCCGGATTGGCCGAAGCTTGTGGCGTGACTTCGACCCGAGGTCTTGATTAGCGGATCAACGTGGCGTGATCTCGGCGCGTCGTCTCCGCGCCCTGATGATCTAGGATTCAGCGGAAGCTGGATCGATTTCGGTCATTCGTGTGCGGCACATAACTCAGTTCAGTCGATATTTTCTTCACTCTCGTGAATTTAAGATATCCAGTTCTTGACCGTTAAAATTCTCTGTGTTCTTTCTCTCGTGTGCTTGTTCAATTTTCTATTGGTCACTTCTGTTCTCTGTGTGGATCACTAGTGAAAAAAAGGAAGTTTCCACTGGCCTTAGTCCGGCGTCGGTGATTGGTCAATTGCAGTGGTCAGTAACTAGCCACGCTGCGCGGCCTTTGGGCGGAACATCTTAAACTTCCACAGCACCAATCGCAGCGGCGTCTTAATCCATCAGACATGAGCAAGCCAATCAGAGCAATGGATTTTCCTGTGCTAAGGCATTAATTCGTCGAAGACATGGATATCTTTKAAAATCATACACCGTGCAAAGAAAAAGCAAAGTAGAGAAAAGATAGAAGTGATGAAGAGCAATTAAACGAAGAAGTATTAAGCAAAAAATCGATGAAGAAAATATCTAGTACGGTACCAGCACAAAATGAGCTAGATAAAGAAATAAAGTTGTTCAAGAAATTTGAAAGAGATATAAAAAAAATGACAATTGAAGATGTTGAAGAAGAAGATTTCGATGAAATTAAAAATAAAATTTTATCAATGTATAAAACAATAACTCTCCTAAAAGTGGAGAATAACAGATTGAAATCAAGACAGCCAGAACAAGGTTCGTTAGACAACAAGCTGCAAAAGTTAGAAAAGRCGATTCATGATGCTTCAAGTAGCATTAAATTGATCAAGAACGAGTCAACAGATGTAACAAATAACAAGTTGAGTAATGCAGACAGATTGAAGATCCCTGCTTTTGCTAAGGAATCTAACGTCCATACCAACACTGAAAAACATGTGGTTGCAATTTACCCYAGCCTCGATAACAATATAAAGTCCAGCGACGAAACAAAACTGGTTGTCGTGAGCAGTATGGCCCCATCAAAAGAAAAACTAAAAATCTGCAACATCAAGAAAATATCAAATAATGGTATTTTAGTCGAGACAAAAACAAAAGATGACATAGAACGGGTACTTAAGTCAGAAAAATTGCAAGAAATAGGTTTACGGACTGGAGTTCCAGCTAAGAAAAAACCTAAGCTCATTGTCTTTAATGTTCAAAAAGAAATGACTGATAAGGAATTTTYAGAAGCACTTAGACAGCTAAATATGGATGAAATTCCAAAAACYAAATTTGCCGAAGAGGTATCAATATCTCATAGGTCCGATGGCAAAAATCCAGATTCTGTAAATATATTCATAGATGTTACACCCAATGTGAGGAATATACTCTTGAAAAATGATATGGTATATATTGGCTGGACTTCACATTGGATTCGAAATTATGTAGTTATAAGCAGATGCTACAAATGCCAGTCTTTCGGACACGTGTCAAAGCACTGCAGATCAAAAAGCAAAACGTGTGGTCATTGCGGAGGTCGCGGTCACAATTTTAAGGATTGSAAAGCAAAAAACAAGAGTCCAGTATGCATCAACTGCAAGAGAGCAGGAAATGTTTGTAACCACTCCTCACGTTCACTGGAGTGTCCA